CCCTTCATAGTCATGCCTGTAAAAATAAACTTCTTCACTCATATAATCTATTTCATATATTACACATTTAGTCTAGGAAATTGGAATAAATCTGCCTTTGCTTTAGACTTAAATTTGTTCTTCTGCATTCATTAGTCAAAGGGCTATGTACTATTTTATGTAAATCAAAATAAAGAAATATGCTCACTTCAGGAGTGAATATTCTATATTTGTATGACTATATATTTCCTATGTCTGATCTTGAAAATTAAGCTTGCTTACTTACTTACCCATGCCTTCCACACCCCCTGCCCATCCAGTGTCCGTCATCTCTCTTAAAACCAGGTTCAAGCCTGCCTTCCTACAGAGTGCTTGCTTCACCTCTGAACTCAGCCCACCCCAGCACCCTTCCATATATGTACACATTTATTTTTTTTCCATTTTTCCCTCATTTATTACATGATCCGACTGCACTTATTTTACTTCAAATATATATTATAATTTAAATTGCAGCTTAAAAAATAGGTATTTGTACAAACAGGTTTGTACCTGCCAAGCATGTTTTGTCTTTACAATGAGCACTTTGGCTCCTTGAGAATGGGGCCCATGCCCACTGGGCTTCCTGTATTAGGCAAATATCTGTATGGGACCAACAAGATAGTAGAGAACATCTGTTCAGTTGCCTATTAACAGAAAATGTGAATATATAAATAAAAATTCACTTTCTTCTCTCTTCCTTCCTTGTTGAAATGTCTAGATTTGGGGAACACAGATACTTTCTTTATTGTAAAACTCACTGTTTAACCACCACTGTAACTTGTTCAACATATTTACCACATCAAAGTGTGTATTTCTGATAACCTAAAATAGTAGAAATTCAAGTTTACATTCAATCAAAAAGAATTCTGACACCTATTCAGGATTTTTTCTTTTTTTTTTTAGAAATGTCGTCAGGGAGGCACAGAGGGAGAGGGAGAGAGAGAATCTTAAGCAGACTGCACGCCCAGCACAGAGCCCAATAAAGGGCTTGATCTCACGACCCTGAGATCAAGACCTGAGCTGCAATCAAGAGTCAGCGACAGGGCGCCTGGGTGGCTCAGTTGGTTAAGCGACTGCCTTCGGCTCAGGTCATGATCCTGGAGTCCCTGGATCGAGTCCCGCATCGGGCTCCCTGCTCGGCAGGGAGTCTGCTTCTCCCTCTGACCCTCCCCCCTCTCATGTGCTCTCTCTCATTCTCTCTGTCTCAAATAAATAAATAAAATCTTAAAAAAAAAAAAAATGAGTCAGCGACACTCAACCTACTGAGCCACCAAGGCACCCCAGCTAGTCGGGGTTTTATTATCATTTTTTTTTTAATGGTTACCTGAATCTCACCTGTTAATTATGATCTCACTCTTTGTCACAGAGTGTGCAAAACATTTGAACAAGCTCCTGACTTAAATCCAGAGAAGCACCATTGTTGGTTTAGTATTCATTGCCAAAAATAATTACTGATGAATATTTTATTCAGCTTTCTTTCAAGAAGTGAGCATTTGTCTTGTCTTTTTCCAACTAACTTTGATATCTCTTGAGGCATATGGTTCAGCTCCATGGAAATCATTCTGGAGTCACATCTTTGTTGCAAGAAAGTTCCTGCATTTTAAGAGTTGTCCCCACTCAACCCATAGCCTCCCTGAGTAACTGAGGCACTAATATGAAAAGAACAGTTCATCTGGCTTGAAGAATATCACATTTGTACTGATGCTGTGATGCACACCAGCATCAATTAGCAGGAAGTGTGAGGCCAAGGTGGTTTTACAAAGGGGTGGACACTGACGAACGCTGGTGTTCATTAGGCTCCTGCGCACCTGCCACCACTTTCCACCATCCCTTCCCATTTTAGTCCCCTCCCATAAGCATAGCAAGGCACACTCCATATTAAATAACGGGACTTTCATCAGTTAGGATGTCTTTTGCAATTTGTTTCACAGAACCAAATGATGACTAGGACAAGTAACCAGGCTGCAGGAATATGTGGAAAGCAGGTAGAGCCTTCGCTGTCCCTCTCTCATCTGCGCTTCACTCTGTGGGTTGGTAGTTTTGTTTTCTTTTTTTTTTCCTCCCACAGACTGGCTCTGTCCATGTGGAACAGGATCTGGTGGTTGACTTCTCCAGATATGTGTTTACAGCATGGCCACCAGAGAGGGACACCAATTACCTTCAAACGTCCCAAAGACAGTTCTAATTGGTGCAGCTCAGATCAAGGGCTTAACCCTGGATTGTTAGCTGTTGTCAATAAACCTCTATATTGTCCTCATTGTCTACAAAGAACATGAGTCACCAGTGTAATCAGTGCCATTTGAATTTAAAGCCAACAAAATTGGATGCAACCTGAGACAGGCAGCTGGCCACCCAGACTGCTCCCCATGGCAATGGCTCAACTGGGTCACCACAGTGTGGGCCCAGCCTTCAGTTTTGCAAGGCCAGAAGGTGAGTATCAGGACACAAAGAATGGATCTGAATCCAGGTAATTTCACAATTAACCAAGCTCTTAGAGCTTTGTGCATAAAAATCACTCTGGCGGCTGGAATTAAAATAAAAACTTAAAATCATTCATGGGAAGAGGTATTTCCACCCAGTGGAGAGATTCCTATATGTGTTGAACAGTACCTTTTCTTCCTATAGTAAACTTTTTTTTTTTAAGATTTTATTTATTTGACAGAGAGAGAGAGAGCACAAGCAGGGGGAGCAGGCAGAGGGAAAGGGAGAAGCAGGCTCCCCACTGAGCAGGGAGCCCAATGTGGGGCTCAATCCCAGGACTCTGGAATCATGACTTCAACAGACTTGAACATTCAACCGACTGAGCCACCCAGGTGCCCCTCCATAGTAAAATCCAAATGTGAAGCCAAATATGCCCCAAATGTTACCTAATGATCACAGAGTCATAAGAGGAACAACTAAGATCATCTAATTGAACTTAATGGCTGGCACCTAATAGCTGAAGGGGTTCAGAACAAGTGTATCCCAAATATGCTCCTTTAGCATGAGGATTATTTTGAACCAAAGGTAATCAAAACCCAGCAGATTCAGGAAAAGCTCTTTACCTCCACCTCAGCTGCGTAAGTTTACATGGGAAAGGAAGCCTATAACAGGAAGAGAACTATTACCAGAAGACACTTTTTTTTTGAGTTCAGCTTTTTATTGACAAAGGAAACAGTCAACAAAACCAAAAGACAACCGACAGAATGGGAGAAGACATTTGTAAATGACATATCAGATAAAGGGCTAGTATCCAAAATCTATAAAGAACTCATCAAACTCAACACCCAAAGAACAAAGAATCTAATCAAGAAATGGGCAGAAGACATGAACAGACATTTTTCCAAAGAAGACATCCAAATGGCCAACGGACACATGAAAAAGTGTTCAATATCGCTCGGCATCAGGGAAATCCAAATCAAAACCTCAATGAGATTCCACCTCACACCAGTCAGAATGGCTAAAATTAACAAGTCAGGAAACGACAGATGTTGGCGGGGATGCAGAGAAAGGGGAACCCTCCTACACTGTTGGTGGGAATGCAAGCTGGTGCAGCCACTCTGGAAAACAGTATGGAGGTTCCTCAAACAGTTGAAAATAGAGCTACCATATGATCCAGCAATTGCACTACTGGGTATTTACCCCAAAGATACAAAAGTAGGGATCCGAAAGGGTACGTGCACCCTGATGTTTATAGCAGCAATGTCCACAATAGCCAAACTGTGGAAAGAGCCAAGATGTCCATCGACAGATGAATGGATAAAGAAGATGTGGTATATATATACAATGGAATATTATGCAGCCATCAAAAGGAATGAGATCTTGCCATTTGCAACGACGTGGATGGAACTGGAGGGTATTATGTTGAGCGAAATAAGTCAAACAGAGAAAGACATGTATCATATGATCTCACTGATATGAGGAATTCTTAATCGCAGGAAACAAACTGAGGGTTGCTGGAGTGGGGGGTGGGGTGGGAGGGATGGGGTGACTGGGTGATAGACACTGGGGAGGGTATGTGCTCTGGTAAGCGCTGTGAATCATGGAAGACTGTTGAATCTCAGATCTGTACCTCTGAAACAAATAACGCAATATATGTTAAGGAAAAAAAAAGGAGAAGAAGAAGGTAGCAGGAGGGGAAGAATGAAGCGGGAGAAATCGGAGGGGTAGATGAACCATGAGAGATGATGGACTCTGAAAAACAAACTGAGGGTTCTAGAGGGGAAAGGGTTGGGAGGATGGGTTAGCTTGGTGATGGGTATTAGGGAGGGCACGTTCTGCATGGAGCACTGGGTGTTACGCACAAACAATGAATCATGGAACACTACATCTAAAACGAATGATGTAATGTATGGGGATTAACATAAGAATAAAAAAAAAAAAGAGTTCAGCTTTTTAGTGGACATGTTACCAAAAGACCAAAGCCCATGTCATCATCAGACTCCTCAGATTTTTCTTTCCTTACTTCCACTTTCTTCTCCTCAGCTGGGACAGCAGTGGTGGAGGGGGCAGGAGCTCCTGCTGGGGCAGGTCCACCAGCCCCTATGCTGAAGCAGAAGCTCCGGATGTTGACATTGGCCAAGGTCATTGCAAACAAGCCTGGCCAGAAAGCTTCACTGTTTACACGGGCTGCTTTACTGAGGGCATTGATCTTACCCTCCATGACTGTCACCTCATCGTCTGGCAGATTAAGGGCTCAGAGGCTGCAGGTGAGCTCCAGGGGGAGGCCAGACTGCAGGCAACTGCTGGGTGGGTGCTGCCAGGCACCATGCTAGTTGCTGATGAAGGAGGGCCTCACCCCAAAGTGGCCTCACCTTCCTCTGAAGGACTGAGCACCTTAGTGGCAACTGAAGAAAGGGGCTAGAAGATCCCTTCTTCCCTAAGAAATTTACCTGCCGAACGGGGCAAGATTTGTTCTCCAAACCTGTCTCGCCTTCCTTCCCTTCCTATCCCCTGACCCCTACCTCTTTTCTTAGCTAGGATGTTATATAAGCTTCTGTTACCTGGCTGCCCTTCAGGTCTCATGTTCATGGAGCTCCTGTATGCATGGAATTACATTTGTTTTTCTCCTTTAAGTCTGTCTCATGTCCATTTAGTTGTTTGACCAGCCAAATAACCTAACAGAGAAGAAGGGAAAATTATTCTGGCCCTACATAGCAAATACATCCTCTCCATAGACAGTGCCAATTCTAGACACTCTGGATCCCTCCCTTTCATAGATGCCTGTCAGCCATCTCCCCTCTGAAAATATTCCTTACTCCGAGGTCAAATATTCTTATTTAAGTATGCAATTTGTTGCTTATAATCACTATTTTCTCCTCCTCAGAATTTCTGCCTAGATTCCACCTAGACCTGCACTGGATTTAAGGTATTCAGATAATATCACATAATTTCTACGGCTCTTCCTTTCATTTCTCCTTTTCATAATTTCCTTCCTGGAGGTGTGACTTTTAGTTTTCAGGGCACCATCTACCATCTAGAATATTCAAGAAACATATACACACACTAAAGCTATTTTTAAAATAAAGACAATCCAGCACCTGGGTGGCTCAGTTGGTTAAGCATCTGCCTTTGGCTCAGGTCATGATCCCAGAAATGATCCCAGGGTCCTAGGATGGAGTCCCGCATTGGAGTCCCAGGAGCATCAGAGTCCCGCATTGCATGGGGCTCCCTGCCCAGCAGGGAGTCTGCTTCTCCCTCTGCCCCTCCCCCCTGCTTGTGCTCTGTCTCTGTCTCTCTCTTTCTTTCAAAAATAAATAAAATCTTTTAAAAATAAATAAATAAAATAAAGACAATCGTCATGAAAACTATAAATGCAAAGCTCCTTTCCGTCTTTATAAGCACATAAAGAATATCTTTTATTTCAAGCCATCTGCTATAATGTCACCACAATTGTCAAAATAGCCAGCAACTCAGTAACATGTATAGACACTGGCTCCTTAACTTTATAATAAATCTCACTTTTTTAAAAAAATTTTATTTATTTATCTGACAGAGAGAGACACAGCGAGAGAGGGAACACAAGCAGGGAGAGTGGGAGAGGGAGAAGCAGGCTTCCCACGGAGCGGGGAGCCTGATGCGGGGCTCGATCCCAGGACCCTGGGATCATGACCTGAGCCAAAGGCAGATGCTTAACGACTGAGCCACCCAGGCACCCCAATAAATCTTACTTTTGCTAATCTGATTGCTATCATTACCAGTTTAAATCTTAAGAGCAGAGAAATATGAAAAAAGCGATGTTACCTGCATTAAAAGAGTATCTTCTTGTGAAGAAAAAAAATGTTCACACTGGGAAACATGGAACAAAAATATGGCAAAAAGGCAATCATTTAAGAGAAAGATAAATGGCCATCAGGGTTCCCCAAAAATAGATGAGAAAATTCATATTTTAGAATTCTATCTTGGTATACCCACCACCTCCCTCCCCCAAGGCCAAGAGCAATTTCTTCACAAAGTAGCAGCAAATCTGCATGTATCTTAATGGACAGTTTTTGTTTTTGTTTTTGTTTAAAGATTTTATTTATTTATTTGACAGAGACACAGCGAGAGAGGGAACACAAGCAGGGGGAGTGGGAGAGGGAGAAGCAGGCCTCCCGCTAACAGGGAGCCCGATGTGGGGCTCGATCCCAGGACCCTGGGATCATGACCTGAGCCAAAGGCAGACGCTTAACGACTGAGCCACCCAGGTGCCCCTTAATGGACAGTTTAATGTTAACTGATGGACTATATCACAGAATATTTCTAACACAGATGAAATAAATATCCCATAATAAATGAACATCTATTATACTCAAAGTGTGTACCCAGTACCATACTAAAGACCTGGTTTTTTACCTTGATTATATTCTCATTTATGGCACACTCTGACCCTTTTCCTTTATAGCCTGATCTTTCCTCAACATGCAGAGCTTTCCCTTTCTCTCTCTGTCTGAACTCCACCCATTCTTTTTTTTTTTTAAGACTTTATTTATTTATTTATCTTAGTGGGGAGGAGCAGAGAGAGGAGAGAATCTCAGATGCTGGGCTTGATCTCAAGACCTGAGCTGAAATCAAGAGTCAGATGCTTAGGGGCGCCTGGGTGGCTCAGTCGGTTAAGCATCTGCCTTTGGCTCAGGTCATGATCCCAGGGTCCTGGGACTGAGGCCCAAGTCAGGTTCCCTGCTCAGCGGGGAGCCTGCTTCTCCCCCTGCTTGTGCACGCTCTCTCTCTCTCTAATGAATAAATACAATCTTAAAAAAAAAAAAAAAAAGTCAGATACTTAACCAACTGAGCCACAGAGGCACCCCACAAACTCCACCCATTCTTAATGATTCCCTTCATCTGGGCTGCATATTACAAACCACTGTCATTTATATGACTTGGCTACCCTGTGAATTAGGCATTATCCTCTGTTTAGAGAAGTAGTAATTTGTTATCTAGGGATTGGCAGTTCTCGAGAACAGGCTTCCCAGCTGGAAAGTCTCACAACCACACCTTTGCTGCCTGCCTCCTTCCAGCCTAGGGGTTGGCAAACTTTTTCTATAAATGGCCGTATGGTAACTAGTCTCACCTTTGCCATCTCAACTCTAGCCTTGCCGCCAAAGCAGCCAGACAATGGAAACAAAGCAAACCCAGTGGGCGTGGCTACATTCCAGTGAATATTTATAAAGACAGGTAAACCGAATTAGGCCTGTGGGGTGTGTTTTGTCTAGTCTGATGTTTCTCCATGGTGATCCATCAGCATTTGTTGAAAACAGAGTCTCAGGCCGTGTCCCAGAACTACCGAATTGGACTCTGGGCATGGGGCCGGCACTGTGTGTTAACCAGCCCTCCAGGAGATTTCTGACTCATGCTAAAGTTTGAGAACCACTGCTAATCTACCTGATTACCCACACAGGACTCTCAAATAAAGTATGAATAACTAAGGTGACTGATACGTCCCACTTCACCAGAAAGTGTCCCTTACCTGTCTCCCACCCCTCTCCCACCCCTCCTGATTTCTCTCCTCTGGAATTCCTGCCCCAATATCCCGGGGGCTTATGTAGCCCAACCCGGTTCTCTGCTGCCATTCCTACTATCTTGCTGTCCCAGTCCCATTATTCATTTTCCTACCAGCTAGGTCTCAGCTGCCTTCCTGAATTCTGCAGCTCTTTCAGATAACATGCTCACACAGCCCCCATTTCCAAAGCACCCTCACTCTTGAGCACTCCCAGACTGGCAAGGAATAAGGAGGTTCCCAGTGTGCCAAATGTTGCCCTGGAAGACCCCTCCCCTTCTCTACCTTACCATCCCCCTGTGCCACCCACCTCCATGTCCTGACCCCAGAGCAAGTGGCAATTCTTTCAAGTTCCTTCAAGAGAAAAAGCAATCCCACTTCTCACATTCACATTTGATAACGCTTTGCCCAACTACTATCTCCTTTTATACTGCAGCAGAAATAGAGGGATAGCTGTGAGCTGGGAGTTTGCTGTGAAAAGGCAAGTAATACTTGTCCTCTCCCACACAACCTTACAAAAACTGTTACAAGAACTTAATGGGTGCTTGAACCCCACCTAAAAACGTGTTCTATTGTCATTGGAAACGGAAACTTTCAAGGTTTCAACTGGGCTTTGTGTTGACAGAGGGTGATTTAGGAAATGATATTGGTCAATCTTTTAATTATGAAAGGCAAGGCCTAGGGCCTGATTTGGAGTGGGGAAGCCCTGGGGAGGTGAGGGAAGGAACCTGCCCAGTAAGCCAATGGGCTTCCTTGGGGGTTAGGAGATAGTCATAAACCAATGGCTGGCCTTCACTGCATTAGCCCTCAGAGACAGGGTTTAGAGGATGGGGTAGGGGTGAGGGGTTTAGGCAGGCTGGTCTGTAGAAGAGGGGAAATCACAGGGCCCAGACATTTGGCAGGAGTGTGGTGTCCAAGGATACAAATGGGTCCCAGTAAGTTGCTATCATAATAAATAACTTCTGTATTTAGCAACATACTGTATCATTCCCCTCATTTCCAAAGTATTCATAAAATTTGTTAACTGTCACCTTAGCATCAGACTTAGGAAACAACAGGAGAGCTCAATCACGGTCACCGAGAAAAGCATTTGATCCTTGTTGGAATGTTCTGAAATCAGACACAGTGGGATAGGGGAACAATGGCAATTTTTTTTTTTAAGACCTCACACCCTTACTATCGGCAAAAATTACATTACTGTTTCTAAACAGTCACAGGAGAGATTAAAGCAAAGAGGTCATTGTTAAGAAATGATGACTGCCTAAAACAGGCTTTTTTTTTTTTTTTTTTTTTTTTTTAAGATTTAAATATATGCCATTTCCCCTCCAGGTATTCACAATACTCATCTCTAAGATCTGTCTTCAAGAATAAAAAGTACCTTTGAGCAGTCAAAGCAGTACAGATCAGTGACCCTCATTCTTTTCAATGTAACTAGCTTATAAAGCTGCAAAATTGTTCAAGTTATATTGTATCTAGTCTGTGCGTACCCAGTGTAACTTGAAGCCATGGATACAAATAGCTATTTCTTTTAGATTCAGTGTGTGTTACTGAGTAAGACAGTTAACACACATTTTATAAAATCAATTGTGAATCATCTATTTACATTATAATCAGTTCTCAACTTACTACATTTTAGAAAATATTTAGGATTTTCTAAATGTTATTCACGAAACAAAAAATTATTTTTTTAAGATTTATTTATTTATTTGAGAGAAAGAGCAAGCGAGCAAGCTCAAGTAGGGGGGAGGGGCAGAGGGAGAGGGAGAAGCCACTAGCCACTGAACCAATTTATTTTTAGCAGCAAATGCCTTATTGTTTCATTATATTTTTAAAAAGTTAAATGACTATGACTAACTAAATTTATGGAGTTTTGCTGAATTTTTATGGATGATTCTTAGTTATTCCCCAAAAGCTGAATAAATTTGATACATGCACCCATATATACCAAACAAAGGCCATGCCTTTTATCATACTACATGCGTAGTAAATAACATCTACTTAGCAACATACTGTATTGCATTGTTGATAATTAAGGGAAACATCATATTCGTATCTTATTTTCACTATTAATTTTGAAAATGGATAAAACAATTATGTCTTACACTATTTTAATCTTCATTGCTCCTAGTAATCTCTGACTTTTTCTCTCTGCAGTCTTCATTATAATCCTCAAAACGCTTGACACTTTATTTGAATTGAAACAATGAGGCAAACTGTTTCTCACAGAAAGTAAATTGGATCTGGCTAGCTTGATGATGAAAACAGGCTCTGTTAATTAGGGTATACCACAAACATTTTCCATGCCTGACAAAGTTTCAACTTGAATGAGCGGTATCATCAGCTGCAAAGTTTTGACAAAAACCAAACTGAACTATGGGATAGCAAAACAAAATTTAAAAAAGCATTTTATCTGAAACCATTTAAGAAAATGAACAATGTCTAGATTTCCCCCAAACTTTTGAATATATCAGGTTAAACAAGGTACATCTCACTGAAAAAAAAAAGTCTCATTCATAGTCATTTGATACTTTAATAAAGTCTATTTGGTATATTTCCCAGTAACTGAAAAAGTGGAACAATAAGGACTACATAAACAAATCCTTCCGCAAGTGAGGTAGTTTTCAAATTCTTTGCTTTCAACAAAAAGGAAGGAGGGCTGCATTGAACAGTGAACTCATAAGTCATCAAACCTAATTTTTTGAGATCAAGAACTGAGTGACATTGCTACAATAAAACTCCATTCCCAGGTATAGTACTTAGTTATATGAACACGGTTTTTCAGGGCATACAGCTGTAAAAACTAGAAATAAGAATAAAAGTTAAAAAAAAAAAATAGAAGTGATTCTCAGCCCTCCAGCAATAAGACACAGTCATCCACAGACATACGAATCTGTAAAAGCAACAATATCCACTTCACCAAGAGATGCACTTTCCAATGAACTTTACATTTTACTGAATAATTAGGAAAAATGCTTATTTTACTTCGATCGTGCACGCACAGTAATTTTAGAAATAACTCAGTCCAGAATCGGGCGATCTGCGTGCTGTCTGTGTAACCTTGGGCATTTTACCTAACGTCGCAGTCTCCTGATTTGCAAACTGAGCTCAGGACTAAGATGCAGCTCAGCGTTGCTCTGAAGAGTGAAGGAGTGGACGCATTACCGTAAGAAGCGCTTAGCGCCACGCCGGGCGCACGGTGCGAGCTTTATAAACGTTTCCTGTTGCTACCCAAGTAATCGACAGCAAACGCTCACAGCTAAACGCCTGCGGGTTTGTCTTCACGGGCAGGAAGGTGCAGGAGGGGGGGAAGGACCACAGGCACACTCGGAGAGTGAGGGGGGACGCCCACGGAGAAAAAGGATGGCGAGAGAGAGCGAGAGACACGGGAGGCCGCTGCAGCTACCTGCCTGGAAGAGAAGCGGGCCGGGCCACCGGCTGAGAGCCAAGACGGGCAGGACAGTTGGGATGAGCAGCTCCACCGACGCTTCGCGTTATAAACGTCTACGGATGCCTATGGGTCGCGACCGCTCCGCCAAACAGAAGCAAGAGCGTCAGGCCTAAACGCCGCCGTGAGGCCCCCGGCCAGCTCCGCGCGGGCGCCCAGTCGGCCCCGGCTCGCGGAGTCGCGTGGCTCGCACGCGCGACCACCGCGGAGTGCGGGCTCTGGCTTCTGGCCCGGACCCCGCGGCTCGCTGGGCTGCGTCGCCGCCGCTTCCGCCGCAGCCCGGCCTCGCGAGGGCGCCCGCGGGCGGCCGGAACTGGCCCCTCGCGGCCCCCGTCGCCGCACCTCCCTCGCTATTGTCACCGCCTTTTCCTCTCTTCCCCTGGTTCCCTTTCACTTCCGGGGTTGCTCCGGGTCCGCTGGTTCCGCAACAACATCCCGTCGGCTTCCCTCGGGCGGCGGGACCGGTGCAGCCGCCGCCTCCCAGGAGCGCCCGCCCGCCCGCCCGGGCCCGCGCCTTCCCTGGCCCAGGCCTCCATGGCCACCAACCCGCAGCCGCAGCCGCCGCCTCCGGCGCCGCCGCCTCCCCCGCCGCAGCCGCAGCCGCCGCCGCCGCCGCCGGGCCCCGGGGCTGGCGCGGGGGCGGCGGGCGGCGCGGGGGCCGGCGCCGGAGACCCGCAGCTCGTGGCCATGATCGTGAACCACCTCAAGAGCCAGGGGCTCTTCGACCAGTTCCGCAGGGACTGCCTGGCCGACGTGGACACCAAGGTTCGGGGCGCGGGGGCTGCGGGGGAAGGGGAAGACCCCGAGGGCCGTCCTGTCGGGCACTCTGCCGCCCTGGCCGGTCGGCAGACTGCGCTTTGCCTTCCCCAGCCGGGGCTCCCCTGAGCGCGCCTCTCTGCGGCTTCGCCGTGCCGCCGTTTCCGCTTGGAGCGGCTGCGAGGCACCGGGCGCTGTGCAAGGCGCGGTGCTTTCATTCATTCGCCGCTCCTTCGTGCGTTTAACCGACTGGTGTTAATCGCCTACTACGTGCAGGCACTGCTTATGCGCGTGGAATATCGTGGTGAGCAACGTTAAGTCATTGTTCCCAGGGGGACTCGTTTGAAACACTAACGCGAACAGGGCTTTCATCTCGGATAATTTTTGTTTTCGCGGCTCACTTTGTATCCAAGTTATTTTTGCGTCCTCTCTTGAAGGTTTCTGGGCGGTAAGAGTCCTGTCTTTGTCTTTGGGGAAAAAATTTAAGTGATCATGAATCAACTTATTTGCACTGTGCCTTGCTGGGCACTGGGGGGGGCGGGGGGGTTGCAACGGTAAGGAGGCAGACCTAGACAGCGAAAAGGTGCTTTAGGGAGATAGGGACTCTTGTTTCCACCAGTGACTGCCTGATGAAGGTAGGGTAGGTCAAGTCACTTCTCTGAAGTGACAAGGGGCTGGGGATAGGGTGAAAGGTGGACGAGAGGTGACAGCGGGTATTGAAGGGGAAAAAGGACAGGAAAGAAGAGTGAGTTCTGGAGAATAATGGGAAGGGGGGAAAGGTCAGCAAAGTGCTTCCTTGTATGGAAAGAGTTCGGGGCTGGAAGGGGAAGGATTTTGTACCAAATGTCAGAGTGGAAGGGCTGGTAGCAGGATTGGGTACGCTTAGCTGGTTCTGCAAAGAATGAGCAGAGGACACCAGGAAAGAGCAATCAGTGAGGCGGATGGAAAACAGAGTCTGGAATTCTGGAAATTCTTGAAGGAAACAATTGGAAAATTGGGGGTTTGGGCTTATATCTGGTTGGGTCCATCAGATTGGAGTTTTGATGGAGTGAGGGTTTTCTCAGCACATTCAACTTTTTTTGAGGAACCTCATTTCTTTGAGAAAGGGGTGTTTGCAGCTTCCGCAGATTCTTCCTTGTGACTCAAAGTTCATCAGGATTTGATGAGAACTGCACACAGTTCTGTTGTCTCCTCTGGGAAAAGCCTCTGGACAATCTGGGGACATCTTCTCTTATAAGGACTCTGGTCCACCTTGTAGGCCAGGAGTAGAACGCACCTGTTCACAGTGTTGGGGTTTTTACACCACAGAGAATTCAGTATACTTGGGTATGTTCTTCTACCTAGGCAGTGTATAGTTTTCTCACTTTGTTATAGGGAATATGCACAGCCATCATTTTGAAAATAATCCCTAATTCCCCCCCCCCTTTTTTTTTTTCAATGGTTGATTAGACAAGTCCAGGTAGATGTTACCCAAATAAAGCTGGTTATTTGTATCCAGCAAGTAGAGATCTCACTTTGCTGTTCTCACAAACTTACAGATCTGTATGTTATCCTTCTGTACCCACATTGGAAAATTAAATATGCTGATGGAGGTGATACAATAGCTAAGGCTCAGCTTTTTCTTCCCCACTAAATGTTATTGTTGTGTGTCGGTACTGTCCCTGCCAGATCCTCTCAAAGTGGAGTCTGAAAACCTTTACTGGGGGGAAGGAAGGAAGCACAGTTGCCTTGACAATCTAATGAAGCTAGGACCTTCTCCCAAGAAAAATGCACATATACATATTAAAATACAGTTTTGTAATTCAGAAATGGTCGACTATAGGCAATTTGTGGCTCAACCTAATACATAGTTTCAAGGAGTTCAGCGGCCACAGAATAAAGTCCCTTGTTTTAATGTTTGAAACTAGAGAAGAGTAGAACTGAAATGATACCCCTCCCCTGGCAGAAGAGGATGCCTGGGTATGGTGGAAATTCTTTCCTCACCCCTCATGTCCTTTCTCTCTTTCTTCACTCCTGATACCTGCCCCCCTCTCTTTTTCTCTTTGTCTTTCTACCTCTGTGCCTACTGTTTCTGGTTATCTTGCTTCTCCCCCATGACTGTCTCCCTCTTCCTCTTCCTTAGCTTTATAAACAATTATGTAGATTTTAATTTAATTTAAAATATTTTTTCTTATTTTATAGCATTTTATACTCCCTTTTCTTATTAAAAAAAAAAAAGACTTAAGTTTGAAAGTCTCAAAAAAAAAAAAAAATACAGAAGCCAAGGTTTTCTTTGGTATGAGCTTAACATCCTCCCAATGTGATGAGTGGGCCAGAGTAGACATAAGATCCCCTAATGCAGAGGAGCATCACTTTAATGGAACTGTTGAGTCTCAGCTGTAAGAACACCTTATAATTGAGACCACTTGTGGTATGATGCTTTTGATCATTGAACCCTGAAGACTGACCTGCTTTGTGTCCAACTCTAATCTGCAGTATATACTATGTAAGGTTAGCAGTAACTGGAGTGTCAGTCACATGCATATTTAAGAGTCAAGACATTTGATACCTGTCAGGTGCTTTCCAAGAGCAAAACTGTCATCCAGCCCAGTGTGTTTAAAGCAAGATGAGAAGTACCAAAGTCTGCCGCCACTCCCAAAGACCATAAAACCCTCCGAACTATCCTGGGATCACTGATGGTCCTTAACCAACCAAGAGAGGGATCTGACCATAGTAGACCAAATCAGCCCTCCTACCCAAAGAACTGGAACCTTGGACATCCCTAACTGATGCTGAGGCTCCTCTGCTTAGATTACTAGTTACCAGATCCCTGGAGCAAGCCGAGAGGTTACAAAGCTGTTCTGACTCTTTTGCTCTGAGGTCACACTGGAGAGTAATGAGAGGGAAGATCAAGAGAGGCCCATCATTCTGTCCCAGGCAGGGCGCTCACCAACCAAATAAATGTGACACCTTTCTCCCCAGGTAATAAAGGCCAATTTTTGGATACTTTCTCAGTTACAAATGGCTCCTGGTCACTGTGATTATTGCCTTTCTTTTTCTTTTTAGATTTGAAAGGAATATCAAAGACAGCATATAAATTTATTCACCCAACAAATATTTATTATGTACCAGGCATTGTGTTAGGTGCCAGGATACAGCAGTGAATGAAACATCCTTGCTGTTGGGGAGCTTGCATCCCAGGAGAGAGAAACAGACAGGAAATAATGTGTAATAGGTTCTATGGAAGAAATAAAGCAGGGTGAGGATGGAAAGGGTTGCTGATTTGTTTTCAATAAGTTGTTCGGGAAACATTTCAGTAAGATGATACTTGAGCCGTCCCTTAAGGAACTGCAGAAGCCGTCTAGCTATATGGGGCTGAGCGTTCTAAGCAGAGACCACAGCCAGTGTGGAAGGCCTGAGGCAGAACCTGGTGAGGGGGGAAAGTGATAGAAGGTAAGATAGGAGTGGCCCTCCTGCCCTCCCTTCACAGATCTGACAGGCCTTGGAAGCCATTGTAAGAGTTGCCATTTTACTGGAGCGGAGAAGCCACGGGCAGGTTTTGAGCCTAAGGATATGATCCAACTTCCATGTTAGATGGGTTGGCTTTAGGTAATTATTAGTAGTGTCCTCTTCAGTCCTGATGTGGTTTAGATAATAAATTATATGATCACCCTAATTTTGGAAGATTTACCCTAACTGCTCTATGAAAAATAGACTTTAGTTGGTCAGGAGTAGAAGCAGGGAGATCCGTGACAAATGTGTAGACAAGAGATTGAGGAGTGCCTTGGACCAGAGTGGTAGCAGTGAAGAGGGTGGGACTGGCCAGATTCCAAGTATATTTTAATGCTAATGCTGACAGAATTTGCCAGAGGTGTGAAGCTGGGGTGAAAGAGAAACCAAAGAGTCAAGGATGACTCCCAAGGCTTTTGCCCAGAGCATTGCAAAAGAAGAAAAGAGAAAGAGAGAGCTTCTGAGAGGAACATTGGAATCCAAAATACTGCTGGAGTCACTACGCTTTTCACTGGAAGGAGAATGTGGTGACAGAATTTACCTTTTGTCGTTCAAATTGGAGCTTGCTGTGGAGCAACTAGAGGGCTAAATACACTGTGATGTTTGAGCCCGGTGGTTCTGAGATTTGGGGATACTGGGGAGAAGAATTATATTTTAGAGTCACTGGGGGGAAAG